TCATCTTGAGGACCCCCCAAATCTAACCATTCTCTTTGTCCTGGGCTGGATTCTTTCCTTCTCCTGGCTGCTCAGGGGAATAACAAATATGATGTCTACAGAAGCAGGAACACTGTCAATAGTGTTTTATGGAAATTGGCAGCACCTACATATATAGGATCCTCCTTGATACCGACTCCAGCAGAGCCAGAATTTTCTTACTCTTAGATAACTCTGAGGCATGGCAGGTTTAGGGAACATCAGTAGATTGAGGATTGGGGAAAGATTGGCAAGTAGAACTCAACTTCTCTTGTTACCAAGATGTTTCCCTGTCTTTTTCACCCCTTAACACTTCTATTCAGGCTGCCACAAAGTTAGTGCATTGGCTATATCTATAGTAGGAAAAAAGGTACATTTTTTATGTGTTAACTAACATGTTAAAACCTTAGCATGTATGATCGAAGTGGCTGTATATATAAGGTGTAAGCTACTTAAAGTAAATTCTAATGGGGAGTCTGAGGTATTCCATGACCAGCTTATGTGTATTAAAACTGCACAATCATTGGCTTCAGGCAAGGTCTTTGATTATGTTAGCTACACGTGCTATTAATGTACTATAGGCTTACTGCGCAGTAAAAGACCACACAGTAAGCCTTCCCTGGGAGCACAATTACACATTCACCCTGTTGGGAGCAAATCAGCTCCTAACGGGAGTAGCCCTGTACAGAGCTGTTCCTTCCCTGGTCTGCCCCCCTTCAGCAGCCAGGGGGAACTCCAGGCTCCCCTGGGGTGCTAGCCTGGGGGCTGTCACAGGGTACGGAGCTGGTCCTGCCCCATGCACATCCAGACACACCACTGTCAGCCACCTTGGTGCCCAGGGGGGTTCCCCACCCAGCAAGGGGCTGGCAGGGAGCTGTCCTACCAGTGGGGTAGCTCCTGGCCAGCTCTGAGCTGGGTAGGGATTTCCCACTCAGCCAGGGTCCTGCCCCACTGGCAGGACAGCTTTTGGACAGCCCCTGGCTGAGCAGGGAAACAGAAAGCTCCCCAGTTCCAGCACTGCTTGGCTCCCAGCTCCTGTGGGGAGCTGGGAGCTGCACAGCACTGGAACAGGGGGGACAGAGAGTGGGGGGAGCTGAGAGCTGAGCAGTGCCAGGACTGAGCCTCCTGCTAGTATGGCTGACTGGGAACAAATTTGGTCCTAGCCAGCATCTACACGAGCGCTGTATTTACAGGTACTAGCTAACTGCACTGTAGACTAATTTACTGTGCAGTGTCTGCTGCACATGGTTACACGGTGACACTTTACTGCACAGATTAGTCTATTGCACCATAAAGCATCTTGTGTAGATGCACCTATATAGATTCAAATTAGATTCAAAGTGGTGACCACACTCTATTTCTTTTATTAATCCTTTGGGTTTTCAGTCCTCCAAGTATTCTGTACTTGGAATTACTCTCCATTTAATCCTTCCTTCACAAGTCATTGATGGTATGGTTGATCAGAAACCACTTTGAGATCTTCTGACTGAAGGGGAACAATGGCTCTGGGAAGAAGTGGAAACAATGGCTCTGGAAGAAAAAAATTCAGAAAGGAAAAACAGAAAATTTCATATTACCTTCCTAACAGTGTAATTTTATAGGTTCTACTTTTTCTATAAATTCCATTCTGTTTTTAGTGATAATTATTCCAGAGCAGATCTTTACCTGATATAATCAGCATGGAGCTATGCTGCTTTACATCAGATGAGGAATCTGATCCTTTATGTTTCCTTTGAAATCCTACTTGAAACTATGTCAATATTGAACTTCACAAACATTCTTAGAGCTTCTTATCAGGGCTAATATTATACAGACCTTTGTTTTAAATAACAGTGACTGCTAGTGTATTTCTGGGATGGTTCTTTCTCAAAGAGCTGTGTAACAAGAGATCTGTAAAGCCTTATTCTTCTGTGAATGACTCCCTTTGCTTTAAGAATCTCTTAGTAGATTGATTGTGCTGGAGATGGCTTTTGAAGCATGAGCTTCATTTTAGAGGTAATCCTCTGCCAAATGCCCCTTTCTATATTTTAATCAGTGGTAAAGAGATGGATTGTCTGTTCAGAAACATTTGTTTATACTAGAGGGACCATAAAAAATGGACCCCTGTTTTCAGGGCATGTCCTGATGAGCGTGCATGTGTGGTTTGCAGTGTCTCAAAGTAGTTTGGGACTGCATTTGCATACGGTGCATGTGCACCCATTTGCCACACTGCTAGTTTGACACTGGGAGATTCTGTGGACCCTAGATAAGGCTGCTGGGGCTAGCACAGGTGCTGGCCCCATCCTCCCCTACCCTACCTGGGTCACTTTGCTGCTGCTATTTGTCCCATTGGAAATGTGCACCCCTGAACGTGCACACTCATCAGGACTCACCCTTTATGTCCAGATGCAGTGTTTCTGCAGCTAACATGCAGTTCTCTTGATTTCTTTGAGGTTTTCTTAGCTTTCTGTTAGACAAGTAAATTATTATTGAATGCTTTATCTTAGGCCTCTAGCAGTAGGGGCAGTGGACACGATGAGCATGGTAATTATGATAGATTTGTTTGTCTTTATTAAAAGTGATCTCATCTTGGACAACATTTGGATACCATAAATAATTTCCAACACATGCTGACTACAAGAACTTGGGAACTATCTGCAATCTTAGGTCATGGGAAGTACCCAGTCTCAACAGCAGGAGGTTCATCACTGTCAAAGTTTCTAAATAGTGTGTGAATTTGGACTCAGGGAAAAAATAAGACTAGGAAAATATTGCTGTAAATTTCAAAGTCTGCATGAAAAACATTGTGTGGTTTAGATGACTGATTTATAATGATATGAATTTTCCATTTTTTAATTATTGTAAAATGCAAGTTTTTCTCATCTGGATTTTCACTGAATTCAAAACAACTATGCAGTTTTTTCTTCCTCCTGTGAAAGTGATCCCTGGAACCAAAATAGTGGCAAGTTTTTGAATACCAGAGTTGTGTCAGGTGCTGAAATTGGAAACTCAAAATGATTGACTTTTCCATGCCTTGCACTCTGTTCTACTCATTTACACTGCAAAGTGAGTGTAGAGTGCTGCTATTCTGCTTTGGTAGCTTGCTTTTATACCCAGTTTGCACTGGTAAAATGGCAGTGTTTAGGATATTGAGGAATCAGGCCCAAAGTCTCATAAACATCCTTTTACAGGTCTGTGTGCTGTCTTTAGACCGTGTTTGAAAGGATAGTACAATGCTGCTGTTAACTGGGTGCATGTAATTAACACATACCTGGAGAGGTTTAGCTTCTTACATGAATCAATTTATTTCTATCCAAAGCAAGAATATATTTCCCAAAAATGCAGACTCCAGAATGTGCCCTCAGGTACACAGTCATGTAAAGCTCTTAGAACAGTCGATAGAAGCACTGTGCATGTATCTAAGGGTAGAATTTTTTCTTGAGTAGGTGCTTACCATTAAAATTTACGCTTTCTATCAAAACATTGGCTGGATTGGCTGCATTGTTTAAATAATGCCATTTAATGTATCGGGTAACTATAAAGTTTTCATAAATGATAATGTTCTGTTACCAAATCAGTGGGAAAAAATAGTAGGATGAGGGAAAAGACCAGAAGACTTATTTGTATTACTATTAACTTGCATTTTCAGTGCTTTCTATTCCCAAATATCCCAAAGGATTTACATGGTATGTACATAGGAAACAATTCACTCTCCATGGAAATGCAGCTATTTCTATTTACTGAACAGCATATAGCACAGCTGCAGCGTATAATATATAGGAAGGGAAAATAAATACCATATTCAATTGAAGCTACAAAGTTTAATGGAAAGTCCTTTTTCTCCCAGTGAGGATGTGGGGCATGAAATTCACTGCTGTGCAGAAGGCCTGTGAAAACTTTATGCCTTACTTACGTCCCACATAAGCTGTGAAAATATGAAGTAAGAGAGACTGAACTGATCCTTTACCTTGAACTGGCCCTTTGCACACAAGATAATTTAACTAGGAATGAACTAATTGGAGTAACCATGTTAAGTCAATGACTCTTGGTGGCTGAGGATGTGTAAGTGATATGTTTAATTCTAGTGCACTATGAATTGGTACAAATTTTTCCACGTTGATTCACAGTTGAGCTGTTTAGCTTTGTAAATAGTTTGGCTCACAAGAAAGAGCTCCTCTGTGCTATTTGGGAAAGTTGGCAAATGGGATTTGCTCATAATAATTCCATCCATTAATTATGGGAATAATGAATGGAAAACTAGTTTTCCTTTAGGGCTTGAACCCTCTTGGTGTGAGTGCTTTGGTTTTGTTTATCAAAGTGTATGAGCTCATCCTTGACCCCTGGTGCTCTGAGTGTGTATATATAAAGAATGTGCATAAGGGCTGTGGTAGATTGAAGTTGGACTGTTCAGCATCCTTCATGCTCAAACCCTGAAACTTCAGTATTGAGGCCCAGCCCTGTATTAGTAAGACTGCATTCTTGTTTTATACTGATATAACCAGTTGTAAACTAGTGTTAGTATATCCACCCAGGGGTTGTATTGATTTAACTAAATTAATTCAAGGGGGTGTACAAATAAGCTCTGAATCTCCTTTGTTCTCATTGATATAGAAAAAGTACAATTTTTCCCCCTTCTCTCCTCTTATCACCTCTCTTTCCTTCATCTCATTCTATGGCAGTAGCAGTGAATGTTTATATGAGAATATTTGTTCTGTTCATTTGTTCTGTTTCATGGTAATTAATACGGATATTGAATACTACATAGTTCTTGGCCTTTCAGGATATGGGTAGAACTCCTTGCCAGTAGATGTTGTGATGGTCCCTACCTGCACCCAAGGGGGTGTTATTTGACTATTTACCTCTTTTGAATTTCTAGTCACATGTTTATTTGATAAATACCAAATTGTATGCCTTGCATGAATCAGACTTCCTCTGTAGCAGGCATCAGATTTGTATCCAGGCCTTGTCTAAATAGCATTTTAAAATATTGTTGTTTCTTTTAGGAGCTATGTCTTATTTCTATACCGTATGCTTCTTGGCTCTCGTGGTAGCTCTTCTGCATTGCTCTTAAGTATATGTCTTCCTAAAACACATGGTGAACAAACATCAACTTCTGTAAAAGGTAAGCAAGTCAGAAAAACCCTGCAAAGCAAGTATTCCCTTTTTTTTGAGCATGGTGGCAACAAAGCCATAACATTTAAAACAAAATGGCAGTTCTCCTTTAGTCACAAGCTGTTTTCAGGCAAGTTTGTGCTTTATCTCAGAGCACAAAAATGATCAAAATTGTACTTTACTTTTCCCTAACCTCAATAGCAAGTCAGTGAAATGACTTCAAGAGGCCACTAAGCAGCTGCTGTATCACATCTCTCAGGGCTTGCTACTGAGGTTTCCAGGATGACTGATGCACTACAAAGTGGAGAGCTGGCAAAAGAATGCAGAAAAAATGTCAGGAAAAACATGTGAAGAACTGTTTGAAAACTACCTTTTGTTGCCACTTTTAATTTTTGAAAAATTTTGAAGGCAGAGTAGATCTGTACCTTATATGCTAAATAAGATCTATAAAGAGCATAAACTAGAATCTTATGAGAGAGTGAAAGAGAGAGCATAATATATATATAAAGAGAGCATACATAGCTTATTTAGTTAATCTATAAGATGCATATCTACCCTGCCTTCTGCCTGGTTTCAGACTAATACAACTGACTACCTCTCTCTGAAAAATGTTGACCATTTTAAAAAAACTAGTAAAAAAGCAGTGATTTTTATTTATTTATTTATTTTTGGTAAGGGGGGGGGGGGCAGGGAGGGGAAGAAAATCCCCCAAAATCTTTGCAAAGATATTGTTAGGAAAACGTCTGTGCTTGACCAGCTGGGACAAATAGTTTGATCCAATCACTTATTATGTTCTTTGATATTTGTGGGAGCTGTGTCAGCCCCTTTTAAAACCTGCTCCCACTGAAATGAATGGGAATTTTGCAGTTGAATTGAATGGGAGCCAGATGCAACTTGAATTTACTTTGGCCTTAGCACACTTTTTTGCTCAGTTATTGTGAACTTCTTGGAAAAAAGGAGAGAACTATTTTTCAAAACTTCAAATTCACCCTTGGGCAAAGAAAGTTAACACACAAGGCACTGGTGCCACTCGATAGGTATGTTAGTTCCACTGCTTCTCAACCTGAGTAGTGAATAAGCTAAACTATCTATCCCTTTGACAGTGGTGAATCAAGAATACAATAAGAATATTATTGCTGCTTTTGGCTGAAATAAAACTCATTGCCATATCTGAACAAACTGAATTAGCTATAGAGAAATCTAGGCTGAAACTTAGTTCCTTGGTTTGAAATTGACTTCTGCATTTTGTCTGGCTGATTCGATTTCTTGCTTACAGTTGTGTTGCTTTTATGTTATGTTAGAAAGGGACAGGGTTATGGATTATACTTTGTGTGTTTATTCATTGGCATTATTTTCATTTTATTGCATACTGAATGCAGTGGAATGTTTTAAAACCTCAGTGCAGAACAACACGTTTCTTAAAACCCAAAGAAAAGCAATCATTGGAAATGAGGATTAGCTGTGTCAATTTCCAGTCCCCATACAAGAGATGTCAGAAGTATTGGCTTTTGAAGGAGCTGGGTAACAAAATAGGCATCAAACAGTGCACCAAAATTACATAAAGTCTTCATGTGTTATCAATTATTTTGGATATATTAATAATCTGTATTGTAAAATGGCTTTAGCTCTGGTCCTAATAGAAGATGCATGAAAACAGAGGGTGTGTGTGTGTGTGTGTGTGTGTGTGTGTGTGTGTAAAAGGCATTGCAACAGAACACAGCATTAAATAGGGTAGCTCCTTCTTTATCTCCCATACATGAGCCAAAGATGATTCATGCTCTGTGATACACAGAATGATATGTTATTTCACCCAAGGTCCTGCTACAGGGGTGCTCAACCCCATGCCCATCAGCCAACCCAGACCCTGGCACTTTGTCACCTGCATGCTAGATTTGATTTGCAAGACAGCACGGGGCCCAATCCCAGTGTGTGGGGCTGGGCAGAGGTGGCATGAGGGTCTGGAGCCTAATCCCCACATATGGGTCATAGTGGAGGAGGTACAGGGTCCTGGAGCCCCGATCCTAATGCATGGAACCTGGCAGAGGCAGTGTGGTGTCCCAGGCCTCTGATCCCAGTATATGGGGCCAGGCAGAGGCAGCACAGTCCAGATCTAGGTGTGTGGACCTGATCCTGTGGCATGGGGTCTTATCTGACCCATGGACCAGCCCTGCACACCTCATTTGACTTGTGGGGCTAAAAGACTGAGCACTACTGCCTTACTTGAAGGTGCTCACATAAGTTGATGATGGGGTTGGAATAAAAACAGCTGTGGAAGAGAATGTTGGCGCATGCTAAGAATGTGTCCTAGTAGTAAGGGGGAAATATTTAGCCTTGTAACAGAAGCTTAATAAATGGAGGAGAAAGATTTACTTGAACATAAGATGAATATATAGATTACAATGAAAGAAGAGAAAATAATTTAAAGAAAAATTTCCAATGAACTTAAACTTTAGGTTTGAAATACATCCCAGCTGTACAGCTTCTTGTCTCAAACACATTTACCTTTCCAAGATTTAATGGTCTTAGTTTTATGTCATTTATGTTGATTGCAGGTTTTTTTCTGATTTTATCCAAAGTTATCCTGTACTAGTATTTTTCATGTAGCACAGACTTGTTATCTCAGTGTTTTCTGGGTGATCTTGAGGTTTAGTTGTTCACATTATGTAATATGTCCTGTATTGATTTCATAAGCTTCAGGGCCTAGTAAGTTGTTTTAGTTGGATGCCTCAGAGCTTTGCTTACATGAATTACTAGTACCTTGCTGACTGAATTGCTGCACTTGCCAAAGGGCAAGCAAAGAAAAGCTTACTCCTGCACCAAAGTATGGTTCAAGACCCTTGTATCATAGTGAGGCCGTGCTGCCTATCTTCTGTGGCCCAGCATGAATTAGAGCCCCGTTTCTGATAAGTTAGATCTACTGTACAGTTTATTTTACTGGCACTGCATTAAAAAGCAAATTTCTTAAAGATAGTTTATGCTAAACAAACCTGAGAGCTTTTTTTTTGAGAAAACAGATGAAATCTACTGAAGCACAATTAGTGACTTGCCTTCCCAAGTTCATATGGAAAACACTAGCAAGGCTCAAAAATAAGATCTCCGGAGTCCCAATTTATGCAAAAAGCCACCTTTCTTCTTCTTTGTTTTTCATATTGTTTCTTGTATATAAATTACTAACATGTATGTGTAACAGGGTGCTCCGTCCCCTTAAGAGGGGCCAGCCCTGCTGAGTAGCTGCAGCTGCCAGGAGGCTGCTGATCAAGGAGTAGCTCACTGGGAGCTTAAAAATCCCAGAGAAAAAATCAGTAGGGAAGCCAACTATTTCATAGATTTCATAGACGTCAGGGCTGGAAGGGACCTCGGAAGATCATCCAGTCCAGCCCCCCGCCCAAAGGGCAGGAAGTCAGCTGGGGTCATAGGATCCCAGCAAGATAAGCATCCAGTTTCATCTTGAAGGTGTTCAATGAAGGTGCTTGAACCACCTCCGGTGGCAGGCTGTTCCAGACCTTGGGGGCTCGGACAGTAAAGAAATTCTTCCTTATGTCCAGCCTGAAACGATCTTGAAGTAGTTTGTGACCATTCGACCTCGTCATCCCTTGGGGCGCTCTGGTGAACAAACGTTCCCCCAGATGCTGGTGGTCACCCCTGATAAACTTGTAGGTGGCCATCAGATCACCCCTGAGCCTGCGCTTTTTCAGGCTAAAGAGCCCCAGGGCTCTCAGCCTGTCATCGTAGGGTCTGCTTCCCTGACCTCTGATCATGCGCGTGGCTCTTCTCTGGACTCTCTCAAGCTTCTCCACATCCTTTTTGAATTGTGGAGCCCAAAACTGGACACAGTACTCCAGCTGCGGCCTCACTAAGGCCGAGTACAGGGGGAGAATGACGTCCCGGGATTTGCTTGAGAAGCATCTATGGATGCAAGCCAGCGTTTTGGTCGCTTTACTAGCCGCCGCATCGCATTGCAGGCTCATGTTCATCTTGTGGTCAATGATGACCCCCAAGTCTCTTTCTTCCATAGTGCTAGCCAACATAGCACTGCCGAGCCTATAAGGATGCTGCGGGTTTTTTTTCCCAAGGTGGAGAACCTTGCATTTATCGGCGTTGAACACCATCAGATTCTCGTCCGCCCACTTGCTGAGCCTGTCCAGGTCAGCCTGGATAACCTGCCTGTCTTCTGGTGTGGATGCTTTGCCCCAAAGTTTGGTGTCATCGGCGAACTTGGCCAGTTCTGATCGCTTCTGACTCCAGTGTCCACATCATTAATGAAGATGTTGAACAGTATGGGTCCAAGGACAGAGCCTTGGGGGACCCCACTGGTCACAGGACACCACGATGAGTGACTTCCATCGATTACTACCCTCTGGGTCCGACCCCGGAGCCAATTTTCCAGCCAGTGGATCGTGGAGGACCCAAGGCGACAATTGGCCAGTTTCTCCAAGAGGCGATCATGGGACACCAGATCGAAGGCTTTTTTGAAGTCAAGATATATGACATCAATCTCTTCTCCCTTGTCCAGGTGATAGGTCACCTGGTCGTAGAAGGAAATGAGATTGGTCAAGCAAGACCTACCCGCAACAAACCCGTGCTGGCTATCCCTTAAGATGTTGGCGTCGGCCAGTCCATTAAGGATGGCCTCTTTAATAAACTTTTCTAAGATCTTCCCCGGGATAGAAGTCAGGCTGATGGGCCTATAGTTAGCCGGATCCACTTTCCTCCCTTTCTTGAAGATAGGCACCACATTGGCCTTCTTCCAGTCTTCGGGCACTACACCAGAGTGCCAAGAGTTTTCAAAGATCCTTGCTAGAGGCTGGGCTATGATGCTCGCCAGCTCCTTGAGTACCCTGGGGTGAAGATTGTCAGGGCCAGCTGACTTGAAGGTATCCAGCTTCTCAAGATGTTCCTTCAGAAGTCAGCATTAAAGGAGAGCAGGGGATCACCCTCACCCGGACTTCCCGGCCCTGTAGCGGGCATGGGCGTCCCATGGGACTGATGAAAGACTGACGCAAAGTACCTATTTAATAGGTTGGCTTTTTCCTGGGCGTCAGTTGTCAGTTGCCCCATCTGGTTACGCAGCCTTTGTAGGCCTTTCTTTTTAGCCTCAGGAGATTTATTGTCCTTGATGCTCAAAGCTAGCTGGAGTTCAGTTGCAGCCTTGGCTTTCCTGGTATGATCCCTACAGGACCGGACCAGTGCAGAATAATCCTCCTTGGAGGTGACTCCCATCCTCCACCCTTTGTAGGCCTTTCTTTTTAGCCTCAGGAGATCTGCTAGGTCCCTGGAGAGCCAGGGGGGCTGCTGTGCCCTCTTGCTGCCTTTCCTCCGAGATGGAATAGACTTAGTTTGTGCATTGACTATGAGGGAACAGTTGTGAGTCTGGGGCAGGTGGTGGGCTGAACTGCTGGCTACATGGAGGGAGCAGCCCCCCCCCCCACTATCAGGAACAAGACAAAAAGGTTTTGTTTGCTTGTTTTGCTGATTTAAAGACTTGGCTTTATCAGTATGGACTGGCTGGGGAGCACCTCATGGAGCAGGAACCTACCTGGAGAACCCCACAGACAAGGCAACCTGCTTACAGTATGTAAAAGATGAACTTTCAATAATAATGGTGATAAGAGAACTCTATTAGTGTTAGTGCAGCAAACAAGACAAAAAGGTTTTGTTTGCTTGTTTTGCTGATTTAAAGACTTGGCTTTATCAGTATGGACTGGCTGGGGAGCACCTCATGGAGCAGGAACCTACCTGGAGAACCCCACAGACAAGGCAACCTGCTTACAGTATGTAAAAGATGAACTTTCAATAATAATGGTGATAAGAGAACTCTATTAGTGTTAGTGCAGCATTTGGGCCCAACTCTAGGGCTGCTTCACTTGGGTGAGCTACATAAGAATGGCTAGCCCAACACTGGGTCATTTAGGGCACTGACAGATGTGTAGCTCCCCACTGTAACTCATGATGTTTCACAGAAAGCACCATGAGTTAGTGACCCCCCTGACCCAACAGACATTTGCTGTTGGGTGGAGGGTGGGAAATTGAGCTCCACTTTGGAGCTGATCCAGCAAAGCAAGGCTGCCTATCTGCAGCCTCTCCTGCCTAGTCCCACCCCTTCGCCCTCAGCTCTGGTGCTGTCTGCAGGATGGGAGGGAGAGAAGGGAGGAGAGGGAGAGGCTGGGGTTTTTCCAGCCTGCACTGGAGGGGGTCAGGTGGATTGGAGCACCCCCCCTCTGGGGTGCTTTGGAGCGTCTTCATCTGAGGGTTAATATGAGGATTAATTTATGCGATTGGGCACTTTTAAAGTGCTCTGCAGCTGTGCACTCATCAGGGCATGGCCGGCTGGAGAACACTTTTGGGGGCCAATCACACAACAAAATGTCACTTCTGCCAGTGCCCTTAAAGTGATGTAGAGATAAATGAAATACAGGCATCTTCTCTCTGCTAAGCTCCAAGCTCTTAATGAATAGTTGGTGCTGTGGCTGGGCAAAGGGCTTTGTCTCTACATACTCATTTCCCTGTCTATCTCAAGGTATGTAGCTTGTCATATTTATTTCTGTCATAAATGGTTTTGTTACCTCATTTTATACCAACAAAATATTCAAAATCTGTACTCTTCTGCATGGGGTTTTGCCTGCTAGTGCCGATGAATTGAGGTCATAAGTGCATGCCTATGTCCCATTGAAGTCAACTGAGTTGATGTACACTGGTGTACCTCAAATCCTCAAGTCCTCCAAATAAGGGTCTAAAAGACCTTCACTTAATTTCCTTGGCTAATCCCAGAATTTATTCACACAATTAGTTCACTGTTTTCATTGGACCACTCCCTCAAGCTAGGTTTGCTGACTTAGCTGGTTCCTGTTGAAGGCAGTGACGGGCTTAAAGGAGTAACTGTCACATACTTGCAAACAGGTGGATTGAAGCCACACATTTTAGATCTGCCACTTCATTGAGAGAAGTTCTTTTTATTAACAACTTTAGAGTTTATTAATTTATAAAATCAGATCAAAATGATAGAGCAAGTACAGAAATAAGTACCATATTGGGCTTATGTCCTGTGAAGAGAATGAAAACCATGACACTGTGGACTTTATTGTCTTATGTGAGAGGAAACTGTAAAAATGTAAAAACTTCATTTACTAAATGGTACTTGTTTTTTTTTCTTAAAAAGTGTTTATCATACAAATAAATACACAATCTGAACCCCACCTGTTCTGTCACAAATACAAAAGGCAGTTTGTCTCCTTCTGCACAAATAATACAAACGGTGTACACTTTCCACATAACAGTCTTTGTTCATTAGCTACTGCTACAAACGCACTGTACCAAGTGGTGAGCCGAACATAGCCCAGCTTGTCTGTGGCTCTTTAGGATGTCTTTTGCTATATCTTCATCCAAGGAATGTTCATGTTAATACATGCGCTATTGGAGCATTTATAGTAAACTTTTACATTTTTACAGCACATTTCAACCCAACAGACCCTAAAGTGCTTTACAAACTGCTTTTCCCACAACTACATTGCGACTGTCTCTGAAGTGGTACGTACAGCTGTTTAATATGACACAGCAACATTACACAAACAATTTAGGACTAGGGGCAATCACCCCACCCATTTTAAACACAGAAGAGAATTTAAGGAAGGAAAATATTATTACCCAATTTGGCCAGCACAAGGAATGATCTCTTTTATGAGAAATGCCATAGGATCTTTTTTGGCCAGATATAGTCAGGGCTTTGCACGTGCTTAGTAGTGTCAGTGCCTTATCCTGATCCCATAAGATTTTACTGACATCAAAGAGAGTGTTTTGTTCTTGCAAATCAAAGCTGGATGTCAGAGGTGCCCTCTTCTGGCACGTTGTTTTGTGATAGGGATGAGAGTGCTCTTAAAAATCTGCTCTCTCCCCTGGCACAGGGCCAGGAATGCTATGAAGAACATGTATATAAAACAATGGGTATATATCCTTCCCCAAATCCTTATGTCTTCACTTAGTCCCCCTGTTTCTCCTGTTCACTTTGCCATCTGCGCCCCTCACTTGCCTATTTGCTCCTTATTGCTAATGCCTTCCCTGCACTCCTGGCTACTGCAAGAAGCACTGGTACGACTGGAAGAGCATAAAAGCTGACTGCCTCTTAGGACTGTAGCAGCTGCCACAGGGAGGTGCAAGGAGTTCACGACTAGGACCAGAGCTCCTTCAAAAACTGTAATAGTATTTCTGGAGCCAGAACTGGGTCAGTGGCTTTCAGCACTGAATATCATGCACCTTAATACATTTTATTAACATGCACATAATCAAAGGGAGACCTAGCATGCCATCACTGGAAAATCATGGTGGAGCAGATGGCATGGCAGGATTTTTTTTTAAGGTACAATGAGCACCAAAAATTGTGGCTGCTACTATGAACTTTAATCCCAGGAGAGCCAGAAGCTTGATCTGAAGCCACTTCCTTAAGGCTTTGTTTTTAATATGTGTCTGAACAGCAATGTTCCTGTCTAATTCTGGAATAAAAAGTGGAAGATAATGCAGCCACAGTCAATTGGTCCTTGGAAGTGAATTCAAGATGGGAACCACAAATTGGTGTAATGGGATTTCATATGGCTCCTTAGAGGCCACGTTTTCAAAGCCATGGCTTTATATTTTAATACAGAACTTTTCTTCGAAACCAGAAATGACCTTTATCAAGGACATTATGCAGATACTATAATTAACTTTCACCCGTGAACTACAGATCAACTGAATATCTTGGATTTCTTTTTGTATGAAAATAACGGTCATGACGGAGGTGCCATAACATAATGGCTTGATATAAGTGCTCATTATTTTGCCATTGGAGAGATTTGCCCTTGACGTTACGTTTGCTGAGATTGGAGCAGCCACAGTCAGAACAATGCAGAACACTGTTATTGTGGCAATTATTGGTAATAAATTATGTGATATCCAAGACATCTAATAAGTCATTAATCACTGTGACTTTAACCTTCTAGGGATTTTCAATAATGATCCAAGTGCTTTGTGTTCTCCTGCCATGTTAGTTTGTAAAAGCAGTTTATCATCTGAGGCTGTGTGTTAACAGGGCCTGTGAGAATGCAACATTGGGGCTGCAACAGAGAGCTGATATTTCACTTTTCACTTGGAGAAGTGGGTGGCGGAAACCAAGTGAAAACCACTTAGAAGTGAACATTTTCTTAAATTTTTACAAAAATACAGTAATTCCCACTAACACCTGCTGTTCCACTTAGGTACTCAGTTCCTTCAACTGCGAGACATCATCCAAATGGCAGTAGACTGGTTAGAAGCTCGTTAGTTTAAATCTGTTTTTATGTCTCAAAAACAAGTATTGTATCACTTCTATTTCCCCCCTGCTAGAAAAAATATGAGTCATTTCAACACCAGAAGTAGTATAAACTCAGCACAGGAAATAATGCTCTCCATAACTCCTCCACATTTATTATATGTCCTTCATTTCATTAGCTTGAACAACTTGCCAAATAAAAAAAGTTCTGTTTTCTTTTTTAACTTGTAAAGAAATGCAACTCTAAGAAACTAAAGTCTCCCTTTCCCCTTCCCCTGCCAATAATACAGAGCCTTCTAGTCTTTTTTGAGGAGATATTTAAATGGTTGACACAGACCACTACACATAAAGCAGCAAATTTGCTGTGCATGATGTGAATAATTACTGCATTATAGTTTTGGTTTTTAGGGCAACTGTTGACTTAAGCAAAATAAGCCTGCAGTCCAGCTGCAGATCCAAGTTTTCATAAGTTTTCTTGTGTTTCCCTCTCCAGTGCTTGTCTTCCTTAACAGTGACCCTTTTCAGACTTTTCAAGGTACAAAACCTTTACCAAATCCTCCAGCTCAGTCCTGCACACTCTGATTTCACACATTTGGCTGATCTGAGCTTCTCCCTCGCTAAATATTTTCCACTGGCCTGAAAACAAAAACACAAAGCAGAGAGATACTGACTTAGAAAGGGCATGGGCAACTTTGAGTCATTTACAAGCACTATCCAAACAAATTCAAAATGTTTGAAGGAAGAGTTTCCAACCCTCCCATGGAAAATATCTGAAATATCTTACAATCATTTAGTATATCCCTGAAAGATAATTACATTAGAAAAACATTAAGGGCCAGATTCTGATCTCCCTACTCTGCTCCTTGCTGTATAGGTAGTCCTACTTGATTTCAGCCACTTACGAAATAAAGTATTGTGCCATATGCCAGAAGGGTATTAGAAACTGAACCTAAGCAAAGCAAAGTAGAAGAGACAAGTTTAACAAGGTTAAGGTCTCACACAACTTTCACTCTACCTACCTCTGTATTTGCAAATCATGTTTGTTGGGTACTAGCATGTGTAGATTTTCTTTTATACAACTAGAAGTCTGCTTGTCACTGATGTTGCTCCAGGTTTCAAATCATGAGATGAACAGCATTATATATTTCCCTGTGGGCTTTCTCAGAATGACAAGATGCTAACAGAAAACTGACAAAATCACTCTAATTTTTTTCACATTGCTGCATTCTGATTATTTTAATTTATATTCACAAATTATTGATTCCAGATGTTGGAAGAAAAGTAGCAAATTTATTTGAGTTTGTGGAGTAAAGTTAATAGCGTTAGAGTGATGCTATAGCCATGATGGTGATCCAGGAATTAAGTGAGAAGCAAGGATTTTTGGGGGGTGATATATTTTTTTGCTGGACCAGTTGGGATAAAGTTAGACAAGCTTTTGAATAAAGTGGAACACTTTTCAAGGTTAATATTATATTGAAAACTGAAATCTCAAGTCACAAAAATGTTACTCACTTGGAGTTGTCCTGGTTATTTGCTTGAAGTAAGGAAGATCTTCAAATTCTCTCTTGGATATTTTCTCAATGTAAAAGTGACGCAGAATCCCTGTGCACAGCAAACGATAAGAGCATGTAACTGAAGACACATATATTGCTCTGGCCAATCTTGCTGTTCTGATTATATCTAGAACTACCAGCATGTTGAACCACATTGTAGAATAACCCTTACCAATAACTTGTATGTTCAGCATATTTTAATTGATTTCATTTGCTGCTTCAGTATTTTAATGTTGTGGTTTTGAAGTGGTGGAGAATGTTACAGAGATAGGAGACTTAGTTTCCTCACTGGCCCATACGACTCAAGCCATCTCCATTACAGTTGAAGACAGGATCAGAGCACAAGCCAAAAACTGGTGTCTTGAGAAAAAGCAGTGACAATCTGACTTGGATCATTATTTTATCTAACTGCAGCCAGCCAACAGAAGATGTACCAGAAGGGTTTGTGTCCAACTGGGTGCATATGCCAGCAACACTCAGTATCATGCATCTTGTGCACACCTTTCTGATGGTTGACTGCATCGATTTAAGTATAGCTTTGCCTTTAAAATGATCTTAAGAATGTATGAACTGTACCTTTTCTCTTTTTTAAGAAGTAGAGAATAAAACTATTTTGAATTTAAAAGGGGGTCTCAGAGCTACCTGTAAATTCTGAGTAAATGAGTCTATCAAAGCTCATCCCAAATTTTCAAAATTTGGATACTTCAGTATTTCGGCACCTATCTCTAGTTTAATTAAACTGAACTAAATTGAACACTGCCCTCACCTGGGCAAAATTAGAGCTATTCAAAAAGGTATTATAGACTCTGCAGTACAGTACTAGTAAGTAATAACTAAGAGAGTTTGACAGAAGTGGGGCAGATTTATGCTTCTGTAATAGGAAAATAAAAGCTGTCACAGTAAAGGACCAAGCAGCCTAGAGCCATGTTTTTCAACCCAGGGATCACAACCCAGGTGAATTACAAGAATATATGAAAGGGTTGCAAATAGACTTTAAAAATGGATTCTCCTTTAAAGAAAAACATGGGAAACTGTGGCTTTTTCCTTGCTTGCTAGCAGAGTTCCAGCCTGCAAGGGGCTGCTTGGGTCCCCCCCACCCCACACACCTTCCCTCTGCGCTACACACCGGGGGGCTGGGGCCTGGGGGTGAGGGCAGTGGGTTGGGAGTGAGGGGCACTGTATTGGGGCTGGCCATTGATGTTTACAAATGAGTCCTGGTACAAAAAAGGTTGAGAACCACTGGCCTAGAATAAAGGATAAGGCTTGCTGTAAAGTCCTAAGCAGCCAATATTTGTAAACCTTTACTGGGGCTTTAAATAATGAAGAAAGCACTAGTTAAAGAAATAATTTGCTCTGCACACCTTTCCGAATTGTCCAAACATGTATTTCTACTTGAGGTGGATTTTCAGTCTCTGCTGCAATTTTTCTGATGGTTTCTCCTTCCTCCATAAAGACAGATTCATAGACAGGAAGTGTCTCTTCGCCGCAAAAATCATCTTTGCTGTCAAAGCTCTGACTTGGCATTTCTTCTGTAGAAGAGACAAATGAAGCTTTAACAATGCCTTTCAGAACTTACTAGGCTCACACTGCCAAGCAAGTGTTTTAAATGTATGAATTCCCCTAAAATGATCATTCAAGTCCTGCTCCTGGTATTCAGTAAGATACTGTTCTGCCTAATGTTCAGACCTGGTAAGAGGCAAGGCATTTTGATTTTTATTTAGTGTGTTTCATCTTAACACATGCAAGTCACAGACTTTAGGACTTTAGGAAAGCATCCTGTGTTTTCACAGGCATGGGGAAATCTCAGACATTAGAGATTTGATTTATAACTTAGATTTAAAAAGCAGGTTTCTGCTTCTATTTAATTTTCTACTCAGGGCTCTTAGTCAGATTTTGCTGAGTGCCCTCATCTGCCATTTGGCTTCACTGAGAGCTATGGATGCTGTTCAGCATTTCAACAAATCAGGCTCTTGCTGCTCCCCAAACCCTTGTGAAGTAGAAATATAAAGACACAATGGCACAGGGCCATTTATTGCCCCTCCACTTGGGCAGGTGGCTGTGAAACGTGCTTGTTCAGAGCATTTCTGCTGGAGCATCTCAAATCAAATGCAAAAACCAACTGGGCACCCAACAACCATTGGTATATTTTAAACATTTCTTCTTATATTCAACACAATCAATCATTTGACAAAACATTACACTTGACTAACGGCTTTTTTACTAGCTCTATTTACCCATTTACATGAATTTCCTGTAAAAAATGAATCACCTGATTAGCATTGTGGAAAAAATCTATAAAGCCATTTTCTGTTAGCATTTATTTTAAGAATCTAGTTTACATTATTGACACAAGTACATTTTTATCCAAGACTTCTGAATTCTAATGGTATATGCTTTGAACGCAGAACATATATTATCTTAGTGTAAATATCCCAGTGCTAGAAAATAAATTGAATATATTGTGATGATTATAAATGGGCTGAGCTGGGAGAATGAGAATTTTCTTGAATCATTTCCAGGAAGAAAGTGAATCTCAGGGTGTGGGACAGATTTTGTTCTGAACAGATGTCAAAAAGTCATGTTAATGTTAGAGAGGGATGGAATGGAGGGGTCAGAATATGCAGGACTAATTCTGCAATTCTTCTATCTGTTGAATTACAAGTGGGGAGGGCTCAGAAGACTGAATGCTCCATCTCTTCTGTTTTGCACAGATTGCCCTCAAGACAAAACAGAGCAACAGAGACAAAAGTTGTTTTTTTTCTTATTGTGCTGACCAAAGACCTAGGTCAAACCCTTTAGCATCCAAAGCAAAAAGGCAGTCTGCAATCAACTCTTTGTTTTACCTGGACAGACTTTACAGCATTTTCCTTCTATTTTCTGAGGGTATTTGCAGGGGTATTGTTCTGGACAGTGAATTTTCTTACATTCTTGTTTGGTGATGTTGCAGGTACACAACACACACTCAACGATTCCAAACGCCCGGAGATGAGGATGCCAAGATTCACCGTGTGAGTATGTTTTCCCATTTGAAACACAGACTACAACAGAACAGGAGAGGAAGGTAATGACATCTTTTAAAGTTACTTTGTATGGTAAAGATTTCCTACGGTTCCAGGAAGGCCATTATTGAATTGTAACCTCTGGTTTAGTGCATGAGGCAACAATTTCATTTATGTGCAGTCTCCAATACTCCTAAATTATGTACCCCTACTTAAGGTATATTTTCCACTACTGTTTTCCAGCCCAATCTCTCCCCTCTTGATATTAATGGGAGTTTTAATTTCAAAGCCCTATCTCTGATTCCATTGGGATTTGTGGGTGTGCGTGGGTGCAAAGTTTGACTGGCTCTCCTCTAGTTCATGCATGTTTGCTCTGAGCCCTCTGTCCCTACCAGCTGGCTTATGATCCTCACTCAGCACTATGTACCCACACATTTCTTCAGACTGAACTTGCTTCTGCTCCAGACCCAAGCCAGGAGGAGACCAGCCCTGGGCCACAATTAATTTATTCTCACAACACCCCTGGGAAGCAGGGCATTACAGCAGGCCAATGAACAGTGGAAAAATCCATATCTGCTGAAAGCAGACTCAGTTCTCGCTGAAATGGAGTTATGTCAGTTTACACAGAGCCTGGATTTGCCTTATAAACATTGCTTCTTTTTAACATTTCATATATATAACGCAGAATGCAAACTAAACCAAAAAGGTGAAAGAAAGGACAGTCTGATTTGAAAAAGCAATTAAAATGAAGCTTGGATATGTTGTAAATATTTCTAATTCTTCTAATATGCCATCATTTTTATTAATGCTTTTATTTGTTAAATATGTTCCTCTTTTGCCTGTAACTTTCAAAAGCAATTTAATTTTTATCTGTAATCTGAAATTTACATCTAACTGGTAACAGATGTGACCAACTGGCTTATGTTTTACTAAGTTACCAAGATTTATGGTGGGTGTTCTTTGTAATGGATTGTCTTTCATGGAGGTTATACTATCATTTGGTTTAATAATTTATTACTTTTTTACTATTTCTTCAGAGCTGTTTTTGTTATAGAGGTGGAAATAATTTGTTTCAGACAAATGAAGTGTTCTCCTTACCCTAAGAACATAATGAGGAAAAAAAGAAGCAGTAAAAATGAGATAAAATTGGTTAAACACTCAAATATTTTGTTGTAAAGATACTTCTCACATGTTTTAAAAATGTATTATTACTATGCTTTTCATATAGCTTTTTTTCAACCAGATTTCTCCAGATGCTATGCAAACATAATTGTCTCCTATTTTCTCCATATTTGTAGACAGGAGTAATTATCGTTTAGGTGTTAGGTATCTATAGTTGTGTCTATACGAGATGCTAACTGTGCAGTAGCTTTATTCTACTGTGCAGTAGCGTGCAGGGCAAAACCATACTAATACACTGCTGCACAGTAGTATTAGGCTACTGCACAGTTAGCATCACTAAAAAGCTTTGTGCAGGTGCTACTGCACAGTAGCACCAGTTATGTGCATAGATTTAGTACTTGGTTATACAAGTACAGTACTAAACTTAATGCACAGTAACTACAGCGCATTAATGAACCTGAAGATGTGCCAGTTATCCCTGTTTTGCAGATGGGTAAGTTGAGGCAAGGAAAGGTTAAATAACTAGTCCTAGATAACAGAAGATATCTATAACCAAAACAGAAATGTTACCCAGAAGTTCCAGGTCCCAAATCTCTACTGTAACCACTCTGTATATATGGAAATGTCATTTTCTGTGTCCCTGTATTGGTACAAGATTTGCATGTCAGTATAACTGTTGTTTGTCCATTTTTACCTTTTTAAAACATCTCAGGGTTTATGTGCTTTAATTAATAAAACACACATGCTAATTGCACTGAACAAAAGAAAAGTCGTGGTCAGCACTGATTTCCATCACAGAGCAATCTCATTCTCTGAGAAGTGAACTCCTAAAGTTGTCACTGGTACTATATATACTATGTACAGAAATATGCCATTCATTTGTAGGCTTTTTATTTGCTGAAACAAATCAGTTAGAAATTGCTTTGATGATGTCTTCATGTGTGCACTGGATGTCAGAGATATTGCACAGAGTGGAGATTCCTGCTCCTAGATTCAGCATAAAACACTGGCATGATCTGAATGTTTTTTCATGGTTGTTCAGGTGGATAATAGAGATCCTATGGCCAACATTCCTTCTGTTAGTTAATACCTTAAAAGATTAGTTGGCCCTAATACAAAGGCTTTTAACTCTTTGTGGGTCATTTTTGAGTGCACATGGACTGACTTTTGTGTATAGTTGCTCTTCTACAGCTAATTCTTTCACTGCTTTGTGGGCCTGCTCCTGCAAGGCTTTTTTCACGTAAGTAATCCCTGCTCACATAACTAGCCCCACTGAAATTAATAGGAACTGAATGCACTCAGCACCTTTCAGCATCCTGCCATTTGTCAGCACATAAAACCTGCTGCTCCTTTTAAGTTGGGGATTCAGTTATATTCCCTGCTTTTTTCTTTTCTTCCTCTAATCCTTGGGGAACGTGGCTTAGTCATGCATGTATAAAGGTTTCCATTTGAGCTTGAGGTCCTAATGTTCCCATAATGCAATATGTCCTATATCTCATAGATTTTAAGGTGTATTATGTTTTTGAAATGCCTTGCCTGGTTCTCAGTGCTTTGTTTTAGGTGTGACATCTTTGATATAATCTTAAATTATAATTTTGGTATACTCCGATATTTGCTATCAAGGGTGAATTTTTGTGTACTGGGGTGCATACTATGTGCCCACTGCAAACCATCCAGTGCTGTTTAGTTGCTAGGTTTGGGCATGTACAAAGTAGGGGCAAGTGGATGGGGCTTGTTTTTTGGTGGCAGTCCACGGCTCTGCAAGGAGGCAATGTGGACATGGTCTGTGTGGCATTGTTACTCTTGAATACTAGATAACACTTTAGTTTAAAACAAATGGAAAGTCCCTTTCAGCACATAGGTACAATAGTCTTGTACTATGAGGATGGCTCAGTATATCTTGGCAGCAGTGAACATGCTGATACTGTAGTAGGACTTCTCAGTCTGAGGTTTTTGAGGTAGCTTAAACACATTTACTTGTAGTTAGAAAGACTAGCAAATAGGAGAGCCTGTAAAGAAAATAACTGAAAGCAGACTCCCCCCATTCATTGAGAGCTAGTTCAATCACTGTGTGAGCACAGCAACAGCAGCAGCAGCAGTGGTGCCAGCTGCTCCCCTTCCTCATCAAATTAGAGTGCTGTCACATGAAATCATGTAACAGCCTCCCAAAGTCATTTAGAAACAGCATGGAAGAGCGAGTCTCAGGCATGGTCAAATGCAGCAGCCATCATGTTTTCCACCACAACCCACCCTCAGCCAAGATACATATCCCTGATGTCAGACCTTTGATAATTAATTAGTAAGTAATAGTAATAATAAGTAAAAAGTAATATTTCTTTTTCGTTCTGAATTACAAAATTCAGTCATTTGCAATGGCTCACCCAATTTTTGTTAATACAGTTTGCAAGGATCTGCGGCACATGCTGAGAATTATTAGAGAGCTATAAACAGCTAAAACCTGATCCAGATTGGTGCTACTGGCAAGAGGACTTCTCTTTACCTCGTCCATGCTTATGCTTGTTGTTGATGACAATCTGTACTATAGTTCCTGATGCTTGCTGGGGGTCAGGAAGGACTCCACGGTTACTCCTGCCACCAGAAAATCGTGGCACGTTGGCTGCCTGCCGAGCAGAACTGGGCGGTGTGTCATAGTGGGAGCGATGGTATGAGTGCCTCTGCATGAAAAGAGAATGAGTACAGGAATGAAAATGTCTCATCACAGTGACCCAATTTGAGAGCTGAAATTTGTGTGAAGGGGCTGCATTAAGACCCCTTGTACAATCAGTTTTGCCACTGACCTTAGGCAAGCATTAGTTATCAATATTCACCTCTCCCAGAAAAGTTACCTAATAATGCTGCTACAGGGATATTCATGGGTGGGTTTCCCTCAGTCTCTCCTGTTGAATCAGTTACCCTTCATAAAAAAACACTTAACTGTTCTTTGAGTCAGATAGTGACTAACTCCATAACCCTGACATGAAGGCACTACCTGGGAGGTGGGACATCCAGTCCCCACTTCACTGAATATTTAAATATTTTATACAAAAACTCCAGCAAGAGAGATTGAGCAAAATCCACCCCACATGCCCTTTACCTGGGAAGTAAGAAATGCAGGTTCAAATCCTTTTAGGCAAAGAAAGGAACTGAATCCAAATGTCCTTTGTTCTAGGTGAGTGCCCTAAGCCCTGGGCCATAGGGTGAAGGATGAGGGCACAATCGGTCTCCTGGCTTTTGCTTTTATTATAAGTGCCTGGAAACAAAATGGTCCATTCTGGGGCAAGCAGAATTTTGCAGTTTTCTTGTTCTGGCAAAAGGAAAATCTCCATAACAAGATCTGTAGCGTGATCAGCTTGTTTTAACTAAGTCAAGGATAATATGGGGTGGGACCATAGGCGTAATGGTGACACAGACCTTGATTTGCCTTTCTCTGTATAGAATCATAGAAAATTAGAGTTGGAAGGAGGTCATCTAATCCAACCCCCAAATCCTATATGATCATCTCAAAGCTTTGCAAAGTGGGCATAAAATGTAAGCATTCTGATACATGTGGCATACCCGATTCAAGGAGATGCAAGGCCATTGAGAATTAGACCCAATGAATGGAAATTTCCTGATCCTGTTGCAAGTTGTTTTATTACTGTAGTTACTGAACGCCACTAGATACAATAATAGAACCAGTGTGATAGTATAATAGCTTACAAAATACCACTTGTATATCACTGTGTATTTACTCGATATCAATGGTGCTATATTTCACAATGTTTCTGTTGCCCTACACTGAGGGTTTCTAACTTTTGCTGACTCACTGGCCACAGAAATGGATATGGAGTTTTTGTTTGGGAACAAGATACTCTACAAGGCAAAGAAAATAAGCAGTGTTCCTCTGTCTTCTACTGAGAGCTATTTTTTTAAACAAAGGGCACTGTATTGTTTTTGACCCCAATCACTGTAGCAGATGTTACAGTCTCTAGTCATGTGCTGACATCTCAACAATCCAGGAACCACAAATGGTTTTAGGAGGGAGAGTGAAGCACAAGACAATGAAAGAGATGGGAGGCAGACAAGAGGGATGTGGTAAGACCAGGCCGTGGAAGAGGCTGTCGAGACGCACCTATTTCATCTTCATCCATCTATTTCACTCACTCTCTAAAGTGCCTTTGACTTCCTGGCAGTACATTTAGGCTGGTGGCAGCTAGTAAGTGAAGCACACTGCATTGTTGCTAACACATCCCATAGGCAGAAGGATACCACACTTACGGGTTGGTGGGAAGAGGGGCTGTAATCCACCACAAGAGGATTTTTGTTCATTATTTCATCAACCTTAACATAGATTTTTCATCTCAGTTGGAAAAGCTAAGGGCTGACAGGACAGTGGGAAAGGCATTATTTGCTAGTGTCAGCATTTCTGCTAAATTCACTCACACCAAGGCAGCTTGGTGATGAGTTTAGGAATAACCATCCCTTTAGATCTGGGGATGTGCACAGCTCATCAGGAACATGTGACTTTTGGTGACAGGCCAAACTTACAGCTTCTCTGTTGGCTGGTTGGCGGAAGATATCCCCATCAGAGTGTTCCCAAGATAGTTCACCATCTGCTATATGCAAAATAAAACAGGTTCCATTATGGGATAATTGTGCTATGAGATGGTTCTTCCTCAAAGAACTTAGAAACAGGTGACACTTTCTTAGACTGCTGCGAAGCATTAGCATCAATATTTAATACTAAATTATATTTAGCACTAAAGGAACAAAGTATATTTGTGTTGCATTTTCCTTATAGGTTTTTTGCTAATTTATTTCCCAGGCATTATTTTGAACCAGGGAAGTTCTTTACCTGTTTATAAAGCCACCCTTGTGCCACAAATAACTTATTTAGAAAGATCAGTAGGAACAATTAAGGCATAACTCCCTGGCTACAACAGTCTCTCTCTGAAGGACTGATGTGCAGTAACTTACACTAAACTGATTACCAAATAGACTCTGTAGGACTGGTTCTTGCACAGGCCGGTAGCTTCTCATGCTTTCATGTTCATGATGTTACAGAGTCATAGCCGGAAGGCATTTTAGAAAGCCTTCTAGTCCAACTCCTGCTCAAGGCAGGATCATCCCTGTCTAAACCATCCCAGACAAATGTTTGTTGGACAAATGGTAAAGATTCCACAACTGCTCTAGCACTTAATCACCTTCATAGTTAGAAAGTTGTTTCTCATATCTAACCTAAATATCCCTTGATATAACTGAACCCATTACTACTTGTCCTGTACCTGAGGACAGAGCAATCCATTGCTCATCAACCTCTTTAAAATAGGGTTTTTGTATTTGAAGACTGCTATCAAATCCCCTTCAGTCTTCTCTTCTCCAGCCAAAATAATCCCATTTCTTCCAGCCTTTCGAATACTTCCAAAATTCCTGCTTATGACACATTTTCTAAACCACTAACATCACTGTTGTTGAACTAGACAAGCAGCCTGCAGGATTATATGGCTCATATCACTCAGGGTGCTTAAAACCAAGAAGAAAGCACTATAAAGACAATCTGACTTGTGTTTTAGAAGAATATGGAATCAGGGAGAGATTAACTGAAACACTCTCAATTTCTCTCTGTAATCCTGGAGGAGTTAAATACTTCCAAAAACAATGAGGGGAATTTACAAAGGAAAACTCTGCCCCTCGGTGTAAAACTATGATTTAGGGAAACTAGAAATATAAAGAAAAATCTCAGCTGCCAGTTTCTTGATGTTGTCCATATACAGACAGCTTTGTAAGTGTAAACTTCTACAAATGGATGAGCACTGAGCACTAGGCCATAGGAGAATGATGGCGGGGAGCATTTGGTGCTGTTTTTGAGGTATAAATAGAAGTACCCTCTTAATTACAAGACTGGGCCTGGAATATAGACTGACATTTAATTGTTTAAATTCTTCTAAGCCTGACTGATACAGGTATGAGTTATTTATTGGAGATCTGGGCTTGGAAAGTAGTACCCCAAACATTTTGGTTCAGATCCCCATATGAATGCATATAAATTCAGTTGGTTTTAAAGTGTTTTCTTCAGAAGTTACAAATATGCAGAGTCCTTTCAGGGAGTAGAAATTGGTTAATAATCCATTTCCCTGAGTTACGCTGATATCTTCATGCAAACACATTGCTTCAGCTTGTGATTCATAGTAATAACAGGGGTAAGATAAATAAGCTTTTGCAATGTTGAAGACAAGGTTAGTCAGGAAAGAAATATGATTTTTACTATTTTAATAAGTGGCTTTAAACAATGGAACATTTAAAAATATTATGTAAATGTAGACCTCAGAATCTATTACAAGATCTGGATCTTTTCCAGTATGTAGCCCATCCTCCCTCCTATCCCTTCTGCTGAATTTCCCAGCTATGGTTAGCTTGTTTCTCTTAGTGATTGTCCCTCTGTTTTAGGTGGCTCTGACTTTTCCAATATAACTATGGCATGATGCTTCTTGCTTTGAAACTCAGTCTGATTTTTGTAATTGGAATGGTTGGTTCCAAATCCAAGTCACCATATAAAGTAAAATTATGCGCTACCATCCCAAGAAACTAAAAATAGCAATCAGGGAACAGATGCTATGAAGCTGATGATTGGCTAATGTTTACTTCATTGCACAATCGGTGTATTTGAATGGAAAATGGAAGTTTGCAAAACAGCATACCAGGAGACAGGAACCATAACCTGTTCCTGTCTGAAGCCAAAAATCTTTGAAGTCAATTTGCAGAATAAAATGTTTGTTGGGAAGTAGCAAAGCCTATCAGGAGACTGTACATTGGTCCCTCACTTGCTTGTTGATCTCTTTGCTCCTATTGTTCCTGTCTCTCCAGTCTATGCTCTTTGAACACATCTACACGAGATGCATTAATGCTCATTAGCCTAAATTAATGTGCATTATGGGCATGTGTCTACATGCGTGCGCCCTTAATGCACATTAACAACCCCCCAATAATTAGATTCTGTATATAGAAAACTTATAAATTTGATATAATTTTACAGGTATAGAATTTAAATATTGGAGGGTTGTCTTAAATTTGTCTCCCACCCACTGTACAGCAGGGAAAATAAATCTGGAGGGCAAGGTAGCTCCCTTGCTTTCCACTCCCCCAACTTCTTTGCCTTGCATCTCCTTAGTGTTGGACCCTGCTGTCTCTGAGCGCATGGAAGTGAGAAGCAAATTCAAAAAAACTGACTTTGAAATAAATATAGCTAGAGTAATTTGTATATAGTACCCATAGAATTAGTTTACCCAGAATTGATGTATTTTTTGAAACTGCTCCAAGTTTTGGGGGCACAGGTACCCCAAAAGCACACTTTTAAGTAGCACTTTGATACCTACTTACATATATATGGGTCTGTGTACTTCAGATACCCCCCACAAAGGATCCACATACTAATTAGCTCCCCTCGCCTCTTATCACTGCAGTTAGCTGTTTTTGTCATGAGTCCTGGGATCCTCCAATAATTTATATGCAGATGAGACAAGGGGAACCTTCTCTGGCTTCACCTCATGGATGATGGGGACACACTAATCATATGCAGCAGGCTGAGACCAGCAGTAACCGAGGGATTCTGAGTGCTTGGGGCCCAATTTGTTGATGTTTGCCAGAAATTTAAGGCTGGTAAAGAAACAGGAATGATTGGAAATGGGAAAGAAAGGCGCAGCTCAGCTATGGGAGTGAAGAAGCAGCTGAAATGTATGCCGTGTAGTGGCTCACCATGACTTAAAAAAGAGTAGGTGCTGAGGGGGACTGTGCTTAATGAGCATTATGATATATCCTATTCAGAAAAAAAAAGTAGGTGCCCATCAGTATCTCAGTTTTTTGGCTAAGATCAAGCATTTTTGGTACCAAGGGCAGGATTTCAGGGTTGGCTCTGGTCTTCCTGGTGCTAGCCTGGTATTGCAGTATCTCTAGGCCTTGTGCCAGGTCCCTCCTGGGGGCGGGGGGAGAGTGGGGAGGAACTGCCCATTTTTTGTTAAGGGCCACTCAAAAAAAAAGGTTCCCATCAGTATATTTGCCCAATATGGCCATGTATTGTACAGTCATACTCATCATTGGCTGCATTTAATCAGTTTCATAGTTGGTTTCCATCACTGAACATATGATGCTTTTAGCAGCATTTCAAAGATAGACAATGTTTAGTGAGGTTTCCTTGTATGTGGATAGATGAGGGACTTTTTTCCACATGCTGATTGTGGGGAAAAAACAGTGTAACAAACCCCCCAGTTTTTCTTTTTCTTTTTATTTAAAAATGCATTCCCTCCCCTTCCCCAACTATTTGTGACTTTCTCTTTGCCTTCTCTATCCCTTATAAGTAGTTATAAGTCATTATGATAAGCCATAGTAAAGTTAAAACATAGGATAAGCTTTTGTATGCCACTACTGTAACAAGCCCCTTTTATATTGTCCATATATCATTGTAAATAGTGTTCTGTTATTTTGGTATTGATTTTTACTGTTTATATTGTATTCGTATTATGTTTGTATTGATTTTTACTGTTTTATATTGATATTGTATGATTTAGGCCCGTTCCTGTAACTTAGTCAAAGTAATGTCAAGTCTCCAACTTGTCTTGTCAAGTCTCCATTTTGTGTCCCCTGCCCAGGCATACCCTATTGTGAACTGTGTTGCAACTGTGACTCATACCTACCCCTCCCATGTAAATTGGTTCCTGGGTGAATGAGACTGCTTGAGACATAATGGTAGCAGGCCTAAAAAATAGCTCCTACTGAATGACCAGACCATCAGCTTAACGACCCTACCACTGCCTTGCATTGACTTTCCCTGAAACCACAGACCTACTCCCAGGACCAGAGACAAAACCCAATATTTGAAAGATAAAGACCCTCCAAGAAACCAGCAACATGGAAACAAAGAACAGAACAGAAACCAGCAACTCCAACATTGTTTCCCACTGGACAATGAGGACACCGGAAACTGCATGACTTCATATGAGCAGGACTGGCTGTTGCCTGGGCATGTTGTCCCCACTGGAGTGACAGGTAGCCCATCCCTATAAAAGGGGTGGTGGAGTGTGACCTCTTTGCGACGCCCTCTCCATCCAGACCAGCACTACGCCATGACACATATCTACCCAGAGGCCCTGCTGGCAACTCCCTCTAGATAACACCTCACTGGAGAAGACCCCAACTGGCCATCGAGGATCAACTCTCAGCCTGGATAGGTAGCTATCACCCACATCTTCCCTCCAAGCAAGGGACCTGAATTCTGTTTCTTCATACCTTGACTTCTATCCCTCTACTAAGCCTTTTCCCTCCTGCTACCATTGTGTGAGTGTGTGTGTGTTTGTGAGAGTGTGTGTGTGTGCGTGTGTGTGAACCAATAACTTTGTGGGCTGTCTAATAAAACTGATATTTTTGGACCCCGAGCTGGTCTTTGTCTTGCTGCAGGCTCCCCACTTAAAACCCACTCTCTTTGCCCCCACCTCTGACCCAACCTCGTGTGTAACTCCTGTTCCTCTGTCCTCTGGGCCTCTGCTCCCCATCCTGGCTCTCCGCCACCTCTCTGCCCCCTCCCAGCTCTAACCCTCAGCACTGCTTTGCTCTCCGCCCTGACTCCAACCCCCAACTCTCCTGGCTCTGCTCTATCACCTCCACCTCTCCTGACCTCCCGGCTTCTCTGTGGGCTTCCTGCTCCCCCAGCTCACCACTGCTGCACCACCTCCATCTCCCAGCTTTCAGCTTTCTTTCCCTGGCTTTTACCTGCCTCCACCTCCCGGCTCTCCCTTATGCCTCTCCAGCTTCTCTTCCAGCTCTTCTCCCATCCTCTCCTCTCCACCCCTCCTTCCCCTCCCCCCCCATTTTCTCCCCCCGCTTCCACTGCCTCCACTCTCTCAGCTCCATGGCCGGCTCTCCTGGTCCCGTCTCCACTGCCCAGGGCCCCAAATGCCCCCTAGTCACCAAGCACCCCAGTTACCCCCAAGTGCCCCCTAGTGTTAACACACACAGCCAGTGAAGTGCGTGTGTGTATATGTGCATGTGTGTGTACCTATAGTGTCGATGTGCAGTTTGCGTGTGTGCACAGTTTTTGTGTCACACCCTCCTGCCTAACAGCGCAACGTTGAGATTCCAAGCATTGATCTGGCACGTGTCAAGTCAACAACGCGTCAAGTCAACAACAAGATTATAATGCAGAACCTGCTAAAACGTGGTTTCATTTCCAAACTCTCGGGGCAATGCAAGTGGCATGCTTGTTATATGGTGTCTTTTAGAGATTATACTTTACCTCTGCAGACTGGGCAGCAGGACTCCGGCACAGAAACTGGGAAAGAACATGTTAATTTAGGACAAGTCTTCAGGCCACAGTATACATTTCCTTCCTGCCATTAAAAAACAAGGACAGTTTAGAGGTGATTCATACAGCACTATACATTTACCTATGTGCCACTCTAGCATCCGGAAATAGGATGCTGTTTGAATAGCTTTCCTTGACTGTCTTGCCATATGGTTTAATGTATTTTTCTTTAAAAAATGTAGTAACTGTAGGTTGCATGAACCTGGAGATGAAAATGAACAGGATTTACAAGAGAGATGTAACACGATGCAAGCCTTTACTGCCCCAATCCTACCAGTGTGTTTCAACCATAATGTCAAGGAACCATATTAAGCAATGATTGGGTAGTGCAATGTCTTAGTCAAGGGGTGCACAACCTCTGGCTCATGGGCCAGATCAGCTTGCAGCAAGCAGTGTTTTGAAATATGGCAGTGGGAGAGCCCCAGACTGTGCACTGAACAGGGTGTCCAATCCCAGTGAGCAGGGCCAGACAATGGCAGTGCTGGGCCCTGGGACCTAATCCCAGTACACAGGGCAAGGAGAGGACAGCACCAGCCCATAGACTGGCCCTGTAGCAATCACCTGTCCTACAGGGCTTAAAGGTTGCACACCACTGGGCACTAGGTCTGTTGGTCCAGAATGCACTCCTGGTTGTTTGATAATGGAAACTGTGACAGCCACAGTATGAACAGTTGTATAATTACTCAGTTTTAAAGTCAGTGGATGGATTTACTGCTTCAGAGTGCCTTTCAGATAATCTGGTATAACTGTTTCCTCTGTCTGTTCCTATCCTACAGTAAGTGAGGTTGAACTATAGTAATTTTCCTCTGAATGAAAGGGAGAGTAAATTATTGCAGTTCACCTTCAACAGGGGTAGAGAGATAGAACAGCTTTACTATAGTAAGCAAGTCAGCATCTCCGTTTCCCTCTCTGCTCTTAGAGGAGTTTAATTGTTTTGTATAATTCATTCCCTTAATCAGTGAGGATCTGATGTGACCAGCTTTTGTTATAAAGAACTGAGCAGAATTAAATGATTATTTCAGTTCACACTGTGACTGTGAATGATTATTGCATAGCGGTAATGTTTGGGCACTGAGAAACTGGGGCTGCATTTGGATTGGTGATCTAGACATAAAATATCTAGGGCTCAGTATCAATGCCCTGAGCCATTTAGTTCCCATTTGTGGGAATCTTATCAGCTGAATCCAGAATAATTCTGATCTCTTTCAGAGATTCAGTGTTGTACTTTCCATAGCCAGGTTAAAATGAAATATTATATGCATGCCAGTAGCAATATTTTACCTGCTACTGAACTCTGTGCAGGGTGGGCTCATGTAGTGGATGCCTGACAGGGCAGGCTTTGTCTACTGTGCTCTGAGCAGGAGGTAGCCTGGCATCCACCTGGTACTGCATATTGGCATGGAGTACAGTTTTGTATGCCAGGGTTAACTCCTGATTTCCAGTCTCACTTACCATCTACTATCGTACACTAGTTAAAGCTCGGTAGGCTGTCTCCCAGCAGTGAGAATCAAGTGACGTGTCCAGCAGGGTTCAATCAAATGATGTTACTTACTGAGCAGCTGCACTGGGCACACTGGTTGGGCTGTCTGTTCTGAAAAAGCCCTTCTGCCACAAACATTTCCCCATGGTGGTAGGTTGTGCCATTGTACTCGCAGGACTTCCCAGTGATTTTACTGCTCATCGAGAAAAGTGAATCCTCTGGAACAAATGAAAAATGAATGCTTCATGCAAGAATCCTGGCCAAGTAGTTTAACTGTGAGTGTGAGCAAGTGGGAGATTAGTCCCTACTTCCCCAGCCCCAAAATGGCAGTTGGATTAATAAAGGAAACACTGATTTTTATAGCTCAGTTTATTAAATGTAAACACATATAATCATGGTACTATATTTAAGTGATACTCAGTAGTTATTATTTTAACTGGAATTCTCTCTCCTGCCCTCTCTCTGCACAATGAAAATGTTGTCTATGTTCCTGTTATTCTCTGGAGCTCTATGGTCAAAATGTAATAAATACCAGCACTGATGGCAAAGTCTCATGCTGCTACAGTGCTTTACTGAGAAAGGCATGCTGCTGCTTTGCTGTGGATGCAGTTAGGGTAGGTGGGAGCGGTACAAACAGGCTGATTACACAGGTTATTTTACAATGGTTTTTTGTACTTTTCTGTGGAGAGAGTTAGAGCCACTGTACACTGAGAACACAGCCGTTAATACCAGTTTTCTAGTGTCACTTCGCCTTTCCTGAGAACCACTACTATCTTTATTTGTAGTGTAAAAGTACTTCAGAGTCCTTGTCATGGGCCAGACCCTATAGTGCTAGGCGCTGTATACAAACAGAACAAAAAGACGGTTCCTGTCCCGAACAATGCAAATTGAAGAAACCATGTTACTAAGAAAGCAAAACTTGTTAGCAACAGCGCCACGGGTTACCTTCTCCCTACCATCTTATAACACTGTTTGAATGCATTGTCCATACTGGGCAACGAAACCCTGGGGAAAATGAACCCTGTTAAAAGGAATCTGGCACAAGGACTAGCTATATATCACCACACTAGCTTTTCCTCATGAAATGGGTTATGCCTGTCAGTGATGCCTTTTACCTGCACTAAATCCACAAAATGTCATAAAGCTGATGGTTCTGTTTATATCCAAATTAATTTCTAATATGTAAATTACTTAATTACATGGCAGAAAACAGCACATCCAGAACTGCACACAATTTGGCAGTGATAATCCAGTTATACTCCTGCTATCCCAAATCATCACCATTATGGGCAAAATTTTTTCCTAAGACTTGCATTCTCTTCCAGTTGCAACCCTAAGTTAGGTTAGAACATCCCCTAAGTTGTATAACCCCTCACCTTCTGTAGGTAGGGCAGAAGCCCCCAAAGGGACTGCCCTTCAATGAGTTGTGGGCAAACTCCCTGTGTGCCACTTGAGTAGTGCTCCTGGGGCTGTGATTCTGGCAATATACATTTTACATGCATGTCAGTCGAGCACACGGAAATAAGTATAGGCACTTTCAAGCAGGAGCTCTTCGGAAATAACAGTGCAGTATTTGTTCTCCGTAGCCAGAATCACTTCAGATTTCTAGGAATGCAGCTGATATTTCATTTAGTGGGTTTGGGGTTTCACGTGAAAGAAACCTGACCTTCAAAAATCATGCTTTGCTGTAGCTTTTTACTATCTGCCAGATCATTTCCCATAAAACCCTTTCCAGAATTATGTTCCCCAAGTATGTAGGGTTTTTTATCTTGGCGCCCAACCGAAAAACAATAGGTGTTGGAGTTAAACTTTGACATTTAGAGCCCTCCATAAAAGCATTTATTTTGGTTTGCTGGCACCACAGAATATTAATAATCTTTTGAACAGAGGGAGATTAGTAAATGTCAAATCTGAATGTAATATGTGCTAGTACTGGGTCTACTGCTGTGTCAGAGACAGTGCCAGGGTAAGAAAGTAGGTTAAAGCAGAGGCTGGCAACCTTTAAAAAGTCATGGGCCAGAACAATCCGGCTCCGGTCTGACGCAGGCTGGGTGGCTTTAGCGGCATGTCAGTGGCCTGCATCAGGGCCAGACAGCTGTGAGCTGTGCCTGTGCTACTGACACTTTTCTCAGCCCCCTACTCCTCAGTTGGGGTGTGCGTGCAGCTTCTAGGGAGCTACACCAGGGATGGGCAGCTGCAAACTGCATCTGTGCTGCTACCACAGGCACAGCTGTAAGCTGCCTGGCTCTGGCATAGCTACAGCTTCCCACTCACTGGAAGCTGCACTCATGCCACAGCCCTGGGGGCCAATGGGGATGCGGAGAAGCAGCAGTGGCGCAGGCACAACTAGAAACTCCCAGGTCCTGACACAGCTCCTTGCTGTCTAGCCTTGGTGTGGGCATAGGTGCAGGCACAGGCAAATCCCTCCAGCTCTACCAGATCCAGGCCGTGGGCTGGATGTTCTCAACCCCTGGGTTTGAACACTGGAGTGGTTAGCACTCCTAAGCCTACTCTGTGTACTTAAGAATATCTTGGGTATCTTTAGGAGGTATATGCAGACCAGCATTATTATTTTAGCTTCTGCTATAAGATTCCTGAACGTATAGGCTAGGGACAGACATTCAAAAAGCCTGAGCCTGAATTGATTCAATCTTTGCAGGTTAGTCTAAACTGGCTAGGCTGAACCAGTTTCCAACCATACAGACAATCCCTCTGGACTGAGGAAATTGAGGCACATGCCTGCAGTGGCTCAGGCTAGAAGCTGGGGAGTGGTAGAGCAGCCCTCCCTTCCCTTCCACAGAGCTAAACTGAGGGGGGTGTGGCCAGGCCCTAGCAGGGCTCTGATTAGGGAGGGATGTGAACCACCCTGCCTGCAGTCGCAGGCTTTTCAAGGGACGGGGGTGTTGCCAGCCTACAACCCGGGGCTATCACTCTGAGGCAAGGGGGGTGTGTGCAATGCATACATCTGTTGATGATACAGAAATTTTCACTCTCCCTCCCTGCTTCTGTATACTGCCTGCAGCAAACTGACAGGCAAGCAAGCCAAGGGTGGGATGGGGGGGAGGGTGGAGCTGATAACAGTGTTTATCACCCTTATCTCAGTGTTTATTGCCCCATTAAGAAAACAACAGAGAGACATTACCAGCTATCTGTTGATTCAGCACAGACCCAGCATGTAGTCTGCTGCCTAATACACGGACACCTCAGGAAAGGCAGAGGGGAGGGGGGAATTTGTGCTTAGCAGAGAGTGGTGATGGGGAGAGAGGGGAGCAAACAGCTCTTCTCAAACGTTTCCAAGGAAGGACATTAAGCTACCTGTTGATTAGCTCCAAAAAGCCTGTCTGCCTTTCTCTCTCCCACAGCATGGACTGTAGCCAGCATGGGGTCTGCTAGCTAATCCGGAGGTGTCTGCTAAAGCAGAAGGGCTGGGGGGGAATAATCTTAAACCAGCAAGGGGTCTGGGTCAGATATCGCATAAACTGGTTTGAGCCAAATCAGTTAACTCTTGATACTACATTCAACCAGGTTTATCTCAAACTGGTTTCAGCCATTTTCAAACTGGTTTATGTGCACTGAACATCTGTTCTGTTCAGGTTTAAAACAGTTTCTGATCACTTAAACCAGTTTATGTGTAATGTCTGTTCCTAGCCATAAACATTAAAGCATTAAATAAATGTGTGGTTGAGGTACAGATGCTAAAACTCAGAAAACCTCCAATATTTCTTGCACTCAGCTCTGCTGTCTTCAGTATCCTTTTGATAACAAAAGACCCTTTGGTAGACTCAAGACACCCCTTAAAAAATGCCAGCTCTTAGCTTTCGCTCATTTTTTTACTATAGAAAAATTGCAGTTTTTCTATTTCAAAGTAGTCAAAAAGTCCACAATAGGGTAGAATGTTTTTAACACTAAGGATTCCTATTTGAAGTCTCTGGGGTTATCTAGTGACTCGTGTAGGCATTTGCAAACTTAACACTGCTAATATTACATGACACCCTGAAAAGGATCTCACGGCACCCTGGTTGAGAACCACTGATTTAACAGAGGATACATATGGTCCTGGTACCTTTTTCTCAGCAACATTCAACAATAAGAACATCCAGGAACATTTTTTTCCCCTTTCTCTGGTACCTATTATAAATAGGCTCTACCTGTGAAGAGCAGATCCTGACTAATGACTGTCTACTAGATATACTGTATAGGTGGCTGATGATCTGTGATTGTTCCACTTCCCCTTTGGGAGTTACTATTGTTTCCATGGTCTCTGAGGCTGGGCCAATAGTTTAGCAATTTGTACAGTCTCCTGTGTCAAGAGGTAAAACTCAGTTTTCTGACATGAGAAAAAGAAGTATAAGAGGAGAGATTCATGAGGTTCAGCTACCTTCTGTATGGGTGCCTGTACATGAGCTCGGAGGCTGCTCCAACACGCTGTAATGACAGCATGTCAGAGCAGACTTGATTAATCAAGTCTGCCGGAGCTTGGTAGTTACTGCACCCCAGCCAGCCTCCGTGTCTCGTGTATCAGCATCCCTGCACTTCAAAATGGCAGTGGGGACACTTGAACTAAAGCTCGTTGAAGTAGCTTTTAGTTCAAGTGCCAAACTGCCATTTTGAAGTGTGGGGACGCTGATACAGGAGATGCTGCAGCACTTTAATTAGAGAGGCTCTCAGAACCACTCTAATTAAAGCACTGCCCCCCAATCCCACAGCACATGTAAAAATGTCTAGAGCACAGAAACATGGGGTTTGTCAAAAAAATACAAAAATCAGCATTAAAATTCTTGATCATTCTCAGCTTGAAAAGTTATTAGAAGGAAGGCAGGAAACAACTAAAAAGCTAGCCAATTACTAGCATGACTCTAAAGAACATCTGATATGAAGGGCTCTTTGAGACACGAGAGGTGTCACTGAGAAGTTGGTGTCAAACCTGGTGGAAGGTGTAGAAGGGCAGAAGTCAATGGCATACAGTGTACTATATTTTACATTACAAAATTTCCCACATCTCCCACTGTGACTAGCACAATGCTATGACAAAACTTGCACTCAACCCAGATGTTTGGGCCTTTCTGTGTGGTTTCATTGAGTAACAAAGTGTGTTCTGAAGTAACAGGACATATGCTACAATTAAACACATCCTTTGGAAATTGTTAAAAAAAAATAAATAAAAAAAAAATCACAGCCAAAAAAGGAATGCGGTACCATGTGGAAGGTTGCTCTCAGG